TGACCTTGAGCACGCCGCCGATGCCTTCGATCTCCTGGGTGAGGTAGGAAGAGCCCCTCCAGCGTTCGGGCGACTCTGGCGTTTGTGATCTCTCTTTCTCAATGGTGTCGAGGAGATTTTGCTCGCATGTCTCGTGCTCGACGATGTGTGCGCCTAGGCATGCGGAACCTCGTCCACATTCTACGCCTTCGTTGCCTTCGCCGAGCCCGATGCCTACGCCGCCGTGCATGTGGCTGTACATGGTGCGCCAGCTCCAACCGCGGACGTATGTGGTGTCGGCGTTTCGCAGGTCCTTGCCACAAGGAGCGCAGAGCCAAACTACATTGTCGCAGTTGCAGGGTGTGCGCTCGAAAGCTGGCGCGGTAAAGGCTCGCGGGTTATCGCCATCTAAGAGCACTGGATGTGTCTCTGGTGACCCGGGTGGCGAAGGGGACATCGATGAGGCGCGCTGCTTCTGCACAGCCATGAGCAGTGCGAGAGGCGCTTTGGTGCACGTTCTGCATAGCCGGCGATGGCGGGCTCTGAGCGTGGGCGTTGGTGGTGGCTTCATCGTACAGTTCTGCAAGACCTGTTAGCCCTATGCCCGTTCACTTGCATATGGATGTCGTACCCGGCATACGACTGTCCCACACCGCTGGCAGTCGCCCACCATGTCGCGGGCGCATTTGCCGACGCGACCAGTCGTCAGGCGGCTGTCCAAGACATTTCGTCCCTCGTGCAGTCGCGAACCAAGCTTCTCACTGAGGTCATCGTCTTCATTCTCGCAATGAAGCGTATGTCTGACGAGCTGGCTGCGATATTCAAGCAGATTCGCGCGAAACTGCCTGCAAGTACGTGAGAGGTCGTGGAGCGTGTTGAGGTCGAGTTGAGCAGCGAGCTGACTGACTATCCTGCATAGTTAATGTGATTAGCATACATCAAAGCGCGGAATCAAGTCCATGCTATGGCTGGAGCGTACGGATAACAGCTAAGTGCCGCGCTGAATCCATTGATATTCGGGTTCGGCCTCTCGGCTGCTGTCGTCACGTCGCCTTCATCAAGGGAGCGACGCGGCGGCAAGACGTTGAACCGGCCGGAAGATGGATGGGGCGTCTCTAAATTGGGCAGTTCATCGTCTCCCAGATCAACTAGGACCACCATGGTTGGTAGCTACAAAACGAGTGTGCAGCATCGAAGCCAGACAGGGCTTGAATGGAGAGAAATGAGAGTCGTGATGGAGACTGCGATGCCGGAGTCATGACGAACTGGAGACACGCTCCGTCGCGTTGGTGGGGGGCTTGGCGGACAGCGGCTTTGCTTCCGTTCGTTACGCGTCGCAGTCGTTCGCTCTTCACTCGGCCCGTGACGTGGGTCCATCATCGTGACGCGAGCTGTCATGGTTTTGGCAAACGACGAATACATCATCAATCACACTCTGTTCTCGGGTTGTAGGCACGCAACGAAGGAATACAGTACCCATTCGACCCGAATGCACGCCTACCACGGGGATCCAGACCGATATGACAGGTGTTCTCAGAGCCTCCTTGGAAGCCGACCGCAACATTGGCTGCGGTTTCCCTTGGAGGAGCCGATCATCATACGGAAGCACTTACCGTTACAGATGTAAATAGTGATATGCTGACCATACTTTCAGTAAATTCAATTACATCTAACTACATAGCCAATCACTTCAACGATATCCACGTCGACTAAAACCCTGACGACCGTACCCACGCTGCCCCCAATCTGCCTCACGCTCGGCCATTGTTAGTCCGTTCACCGCGCGCCCAGTTACCGGATTCCAACTTCCAGTTGCCCCGATGAAATTTTCTTCGCATTGCTCAGGTGGCGGGTGAATATGGCATCCTTTGGGGTTCACCGGCCCGTACCAAACGACATCGTGCGGTACCCCTTTCCTGAGAACTCCAATCTCTGCTGCTCGTCTCGCAGTCTCCCTCTGGCCATCCTGCACTCGCATACTTTCAGGGTGCAGGACCTGCGCACGCACAGTTCTTAGTTCGTGGTTCGAGTTGACGAAGTCTTTGCCTAAGATATCCATGCATCGCTGGATATACTCTTCTCTCTGTATCTCCTGGCCTTGAAGATCTAGGATGTGTACACCATCGTATTGTGCGTGGTTGTTAACTTCAGGATGTGAGTACGCATCGCCGTGGGTTTCTGGTTGTGCGCAACGACAGAATTGGGAGTCAGTGAGATTTCTATCGTAGCCGGTGTAGTGGACCCGTGTCTGTCGTCGGTTGACTACTTGTTGTTGTGGAACAACTGCCAATTGTGGAACGAGGGCCAGCTGCGGGTTCCCGGCCTGTACAATATAAGGCCCTGAGAAAGGTACTTGTTGTGAGAACGTAATATTATAGGTATACCCCGACTGCCTATAGGGAAACATGGCTTTAGTTTCTTTAGAGTAGCAGGCGGTCGTAATGTTGTTATGTGGTGAGAGTGTGAGGATTCAGAGTTGAGCAACCTAGGATAGGCTTTTATACCTTGAATATGTCACTCGCAATGGCCACGTCGTCTCCTTGAGATCGTGTTGTACTTATGTTCACATCTCCAAGCTACTGTGATATCTACATTTCAAGAAGAAGTTGAAGACGTTGTAGTCCATTCTTCATGCACTTCAAACATCACCCGTGGTGGCGGAGGTGACAATGACTCACAGCTAAATGATTAGATGTTCCAAGCCGTTGAACGTTTGAGATTATGTGAATACGGCTCTTCAGTTGTAACGGCCGAACTGTAGTGAAGTTCACAAAGTCATGATACGAAGACAGGAAGTCGAGTGGTGGAAGCGACGATGAGGATGAACGCGACTGGTCACTAGCGTCTTGGCATCTGTGGATCGATTTGAAGGAGCGATGCGGGTTCTCATGCATGTCACAATCGCTCAATGAGGGGCATTACTGCATCAACACTAGGTCCATAGAAGACCTGCCGAACTTCACGCTTGTCCCTGTTACCTTCCATCCACCATGGCGCATAACACGGGAGCGGTGAACCCGCTTCGGCTCTCCACGACACTGACCGAATGGGGACACCGCGATACTTACTAATGACGACAAAGCCATCACGTCCGTCCAGTGCCAGACATGCCGCAAAGGTCTCACTCCTGCGATACGGCATACTCGCAATACGATACTGGCCCCACGGGCCTGACGCCTTTTCCATCCGTAGTTTGCGGGTCGTAGCCGGACGCTAATGCAACGAGCCCGTACCGCTGGCCCCCCATCTGCAGCAAAGTGAGCTAGATGTAATCTTCTACAAAAGCAATATGTGCGATTCAGAAGGGACACGTAGTTCCGTCCCTGCATCCTCTGTCAATCGCACAACGCAATTGTGGTCTATATCGTCTACGAACACCAGCTAGGAGCAAAGCAGTGCGACAAGATACAGTCTTACCATCGAAGCATACAGCACCATGACGACTTTCCTTCTTCGTGACATTCGCATTTTCACTGGCGAAGAGACTATCGACGAAGGATATGTCCACGTACTTGATGGCAGGATCAAGAGTGTCGGACCCATCAGCGATGCGCCGCTCGAACCAGTAAAGACATATTCGAAACCGGGCCACACGCTCCTCCCAGGCTTAATCGACTGCCACATCCACGCAGACAGGGCCGATCCCGAAGCCCTACCCCAAGCGTTACGCTTTGGCGTGACTACCGTGTGCGAGATGCACAACGAGCTTGAGAACGTGCAGAAGCTGAAGAAGCAGACTTTGGAGCCAGATACTGCTTCGTACAAGACAGCAGGCCAGGCTGCCACCATCGAGAACGGGTGGCCGATACCCGTAATCACGGCTCACGACAAGAGTCCTGAGACAGCGGCGGCAATTGCAAAGTGGCCTAAGTTGACGGATCAAAGCAGCGTCATGGAATACCTGGAGTGGACGAAGAAAGAGATGCAACCAGACTACATCAAACTCATGCACGAGAGCGGGACCAGCATGGGTCGCGAGTTCACCTACCCTTCAGTCGAACTACAAAAAACGATTATCACGGAAGCCAAAAAGCGAGGTTACCTGACCGTTGCACACGCTCTCTCCCTGCGGGACACTCTCGATGTCCTGAACGCGGGTGTTGATGGCCTTACACATACGTTCTGCGACCAGCCGCCAACCCAAGAGCTGATAGATGCGTACAAGAAGAACAACGCCTGGGTCAATCCTACCCTTGCTGCAATCGGCAGTCTGACTACTGAGGGGAAAGAACTGCAGCATCAGTTCGCACACGACCCCCGAATCAAAGGGCTGATCAACGACGATCGCGTGGGCAACATGTGTAAGTGCATGGGCTTTTGTGCTGAGAACGGTAAAGCGGAATACGCATACGAGGGCGTGAAGAAGCTTAGAGAAGCGGGTATTGATATTCTCTGGTAAGTCAATTGTGTGTATCCTATCGAACAAGTGACTAACGAAATGTAGCGGAAGTGATTCAGCAGGTCCAGCAGTAGGAACGGCGTTTGGGCTATCAATGCATCAAGAGTTGAACGTCTTCGTGAACAAGATCGGCATGTCACCTGCGGAGGCTTTGCGCTCTGCCACAAGCCTGGTCGCCAAACGTTTCCAATTCACCGATCGCGGACGCCTGGCGGAAGGACTCAACGCCGACATGTTGCTGGTTGAAGGAAACCCACTAGAAGATATTGACGCGACATTGAACATTCGTGGTGTTTGGCGCGATGGCAGTCTCTGCAGTACGTATGCTGAGAAGCTGGAAGCCGGTGTGGAGCCCTTGCTGGGCTGATTACGCATCCCAACAATAATGGCTGGGAAATTCGAGATTGAATCTGAACGCTCTTTATGCAAACTATCATCAGCGCGGTGGCTACAGTATATTTGGCGCCCAGAGAAATCCTCTCAACATCATCATGTAGTACTCTGGGTGTCTGCTCGATACAGAGAGCCTATCCTGACCTGCATATGTCGTCGATAGCAATTCATCATCCGAACTCCACCAACGGTACATGTCCATATGAAGCCCTATTCCCACGAGGTCCAATCATACGTCTTGAACCAGGTAGTAAACGTCGTTCCCAAGGTTTCTGCAACTCGGTTCCAATCCGCTATAGTAAAACATGTTTGGGCTGACCCTGCCGCCTGTTTCTCGCTCACTAACCTTTGCAACTCAGCACCGACGTCTTCGTCTAGCGCGGAGCTCAACGCGGCCATTAATGCAGCCTCTTGGTTGCAGTCGAGAAGCCTTATATGGGCCCTCGCCCTCATACTGACATGCGGTGCGCTTTCCAACAGCTGAATGTCGATATAAGCAGAGAAAACGCCCATTTCGCCTATTTTGAAGAATGGCTCTGTCCGGGGCACCTCCTGGGACGGTAACCAGTGCCTAAGTCGCAGGCTAACGTGACGGATGTTGCCATCAAGATGAGGATCGGTCCCCTCCAGCCATGATCGATTATTCGCAATATACCAGTTCCCGTCGTCGATATCGTTAGATAGCAAGTCGGCTACCCATGTGTATTGTCGCATGACGAGTGGTATCAATTCGTCTCGAACCCGCCTAGAAGCATCCGCAAAGTCTTTGAGCCAACTGGGGAACTTCACGAGGATAGCACTCATGCGCGAAGCGACAGGCCTGATGTCGTCTTTGGGGTAGGCTTTTGTGATGAGGATGTCGTAGATGATATTTCGGACCTCTCCTGGTAAGGCGAAAAAGGTCCACGCCGGGGTGTTCACGTTAGCAGACGCTTGGGCGGTAGTGTGATTCGACATGCTTTCTCTCAGATGGGTGGGGTTATAATCATGGAAAGCCTCGTCTCTCTTCGCAGATTATATATTGCTATCGTGAGCATTGTGATTGCGCAACCCAAACATCACGTCGCATGGATGTAGCACGTGAGCTTATTGAGATCGTATGGTCCAGTTCTCTTCTTTAGTATCAAGCGCACCCAAGCGATTGTGAGGGAGTAGCTGGACGGTTATGTATCATTTACTTCTCTAAATCAGCTTAGCATGGGTGATGTTTTATGGATACATGCGATCGACTATGGCGTCTTATTAGAGGTATAGGATTGGCGAGAATGATACTTCAACAGACTACATAGAATGATGTCTGTCTGAGGTCCAATGTGTTCATTAGTGTTGATTAAAGAATTTCACATTGGGCTACGAAGAACTGAAGAGATCTACCAGGCATACATGCTATCACACTACAGTTTCTCCACCCGTACCACGACCACGACCACCCCCAGCGCGGGATATGTGACAATGACCCTTGATGGCTGTCGGTAGTCGCACAGTATTGATTGAAGCTACCGTATGTCACTTCGCCGGTGTGATTGTACCAATGATTCAATCCCCAACAATCATTCAATTGCGCTAACGACCGCTATCCAGGTATATAAAGACGCTGCGAAAGGTCTTGTCGAACTCCAACACTCGCAGCAACTTTGCTCCGCCTCTACCTTATTTCTCTCATTACAATGGCTGAGACATCAGAATCCAAGCTACTCCAAGGCTATGTCAAAGGCTACCCCAAGCTTGCCCGATCAATGGGCATACGCCCCGAGAGCGCCATCTTCCGTAGCTTTGGTGCACTAAACGCGAAGAATCTGCTATACATGCAGGCGGAAATAACATACTTGGAAGAGGAGTTACGAGAGATGGAAGTCGCAGACCACGACAGCGATGAAGGGGAGAAAGCCCGGTATGCTCACGACTGGTTCTTCCTTGAAGTTTCAGCAGAGGAAAGGGATGGTGTCGACGCATCGCAACTGAGTCTCATCCTCAAGATTCGAGAGAAGCTTAGGGAGTACAGTGAGTACTCAAGACCATAAGGACACCAAGATGGGTGATACTAATCGGCACAGACAAGGCATTGTACTATCAGACAGCCATCTGCCAGTTCGAGCCCCCAGACTACTATGACCTCAAGGACGTCCAAGGCTTCATGGCCAGCTCAGAGATGAAGTTACCCTTGTACGGTCCAGACAGGAACGTCTGGGGCATATACGATGATCCCACCGCTCACGCAGACGATGGCTTGATCGCGCTGCATCCGCGAGTGCGCACCGACACATTCACAACCATGCTCTCCGATCGACTGGTACACGTCTTTTTGTTCTTCAAGAAGCTATACCCGGGAAAGGAAAGTGAAAACCCCATGTGTTTCTATCGTGACGACACAATCTCAACAATCACGTTCTGGTTGACCTGCTTCATCGCTTCCATACTCCCGGTCATAGCAATCATCGCGCTGGTCAACATATCCTCGCTGGTACATCGTCTCGCCGCCATTGCTGTTTTCAACGGCATTGTGTCGCTCTGTCTAGGATGGTTCACGGAGGCGAGAAGGACCGACGTCTTCGCGATAACAGCAGTGTAAGCTCCAATCGTTGTTCAGGCTGTACATATCTGACCCAAAGCATAGATTTGCGGCTATACAGGTCATTTTCGTGGGCCAAACACTTGTTCATGGGCCGTAGGAAGTTGTGTTCGCACCCAGCAGTATATTATCGGAATTTGTTTGCGCAAAGACGAAGCGCTCACCAGGTTTTCTGACTTAGACACTATATTTTGGCTTCTTTTATTGCTTATTATAGTAAACCTTGGAGGTAGACGATGGGATTTCGGAGATTCAATATCATTAGATAGTTAAGCCTAAGGCTAGACAATAGATCAGTCGATTTGTGGAAGCTCATTTATTATAATGCTTAAATAAGACAAGACCTTCCTCTGCGCTTATATAACAACAAGATGAAGTTTGTAGTCCACTACCCTTTTGTAAGGCGACACCTTCGCTGAACTTTAGTTTGATGTTTGCTCCTCCACAATCCACGCCATATACGCCTCTTTGAGCTTTAATACAAGCCCCTGCCATTCCTCAACAGTGAAGCAACTGCTACTTTGCCTCGATTCCAATTTCGTCTTGACCACCTCCCGCAATGCGCTATTGATGCTCTTCTCCAGTACCTGCTCCAATGCTTTACCTTTGTCTGCTTTGAAATTATAACGGTTTTCTCCACCTACGCCCGTTACAAACCCCGAGACCCGAGTAGTGAAAGCATCAGCACTGCTGCGCTCGCTGAGACGTATTTCGACCGTGTATTGCAAAAGCAGCTTCGGCGAAGACCCTGGATGTGGAACGGTGTCTTTGATTCGGAAATTAACGCGGCGGATGTTGTTGGATGTTGGATGAAAGAGTGTGCTTGGTTCTCGAAGCCAGCTTCCGTTCGAACGTGTGAGAATCTTCCCATGTGGGGAGGTTCGTAAGAGGAGATCAGCAGTCCAAGTATATGACCCGAATAGCAACGAGAGAAGCTCGAGCCATATCGTTTTGCAGGTATTGAGGAGACCACGAATCGTTTTCGGGAGCTGGGCAAAGACGCCTTTGACGGTTGTTACGCATCGTTCTTTCCCGCAATGATCTATGATTCTTCGCTCGAATTTGCCGACGATGTAGCCGTAGATATGGTTTCGGATTTCTGCTGGGAGGTCGAGGAATGTGCACCGTTCTATATTTTCATCGCGTCCGCTTGGGGTGTTTATCATTGAGATCTGGTGGTTGTCTGGCTGAGAACTGGATCGGGAGTCGGACGCCGGAGCGCTTGAGGCACAGGCTTCTGGTACGGCGGAATCCTGCGGTGAGCCCATCTTGCGATGATTTGACAACAGCCAAGCGTTGTCAATGCAAGAACTTCTGAATATAAACAAAGGGTGTCAAAATGTTTGCAGACCTACGGTATTTATTCTAGAGCACGCTGCACGACACTCGGACTGGCTTGCAAGTAGTGGCGACGCTACCAAGGCAAGTAGCCTGCTGCCTAGTGACCCCTTACCATTCTAGCGACGGCGCGTGTCAGGGGTAGATGCAGAGAGCTGCTGCGGCTACAATAGGCATCGCATTTAGGAATGTTGTCACCCAAGACTATGCGACGTGTGTGTTGTGTGGGAATGATGACTAGGGAGCAAGGTAAAAGGACGTGAAGAAGTCGCGGACCATCCGCCAGGCTAAAGTCCGCCTGTCATTCCCGTGCCGTCAGCTCACGTCATCGTTGATGGCAACCATGTGTCTTCTGTAACCAAACCGTAAGACGCCTCAAGCATTTCTACAGTCAAACTACAAAAAATGTCAGAATCGGTAAGCTGGGATGCCTATACAAATGCGATGTCATCAGCATGGCAATGCCCACCTGAGCATGGTCGCACCAGGCTAGCCACATTTGCTAACATCTCCAAGGCCGCCACCAACGGCTTCGCTGAGAAAGACGGCCAATTCCGTCGCAAACCCTCAGCGTTCCGCAATTTCATCTCTTCTGATCCCAGGTCGGAGTTCCCAGCGGAAAAGGATCGATATGCGCTTTACATTCACATGGGCTGCCCTTGGGCACATCGTACGAATCTAGTGCGCAGCTTGAAAGGGCTCAAAGACATCATCCAATTGATCGTATGGGATCTGTCGCTCGTTCACGATAAGAAAGGATGGGGCATGTCCGGAAAGCCTGGGTTCGAGAAAGAGCCGTTGTATGGCTATACGAACTTGAGGCAGCTGTATGAAAGGGCGAACCCGGAATACGAAGGGCGGTACCTCGTCCCGACTCTCTGGGACAAGAAGAAAGGCAGGTCTCGTGATCGCAAGCGCGGAAAAGGTATGCGCTGACTCGGTCACAGTGACAATCGTGAACAACGAGTCCAGCGAAATCATCCGTATGTTCTACACCGAGTTTGATGCGTTCATTCCCGAGCAGCTCCGCGAGTCGAGCAAAGGCGACAAAGCCATCCTGCCAGAGCATTTGCGTAAGGACATCGACGCCATGAACGAGTGGGTTTACGATACCATCAACAACGGTGTGTACAAGACTGGGTTTGCCCAATCCCAGGAGGCATACGAAGAGCACGTCTACCCCTTGTTCAAATCTCTCGATCGTCTGGAAGAACATCTTGGCCAGCCAGGGCATGGCCCATACCTGTTTGGCGATCACATCACTGAAGCAGACATCCGGCTGTATACTACCATCATCAGATTCGATGTTGCGTACTTCACAATCTTCAAATGCAACCTCAAGATGATTCGCTATGAGTACCCCCGGCTGCACGACTGGGTACGCAGGCTGTACTGGGATGAGAGCGAAACGACTAATTTCGGTGCGTTCAAGAAGACAGTGGACTTTCAAGCGGTAAGTAAACAGTCAAAGTAAAAGACTCAGTACAAGATGGCTAATGTTTTCTAAGTACAAGGATGGCTACTCGAACGCTACGAAGGCGAAGATTGTGCCTGTGGGACCGAAGCCAGATATCATGCCCTTGTAGATCGTTTACTGTAATGGAAGCTCGTTTAGATAGTCTGTGAGCGTTGAACAGAGCCCCCGTATCATCTAAATCCTTTCTTCCAACCCTAACCTCTCCTCCTCGTACTTGGCCGACCCTGCATCGTCGGTATCTCTGAGATCACCTGCGCCATCAGTAGTTCCCAATCACAGTACCCCAGAGGCACAAGCGACCCTTCTGCCCAGTACTTGCACTTCTCGTCCTCAGACATAAATGCCAAGACAGGGACACTCTTCTCTTGAGTCGAAAGAACAGTATCGTCTCGTTCCAGTTCCGGCTCGACTGGTCTGGGTGTATCCGCGATGTCGAGGTGCGATACAGCATAATAACAGGATACCATATGTCGTACGCCAATAGCACAATGCTGAAGCAAGCCACCGACAGCGCAGACCGTCATGAGGCAGATACCTAGGGCGCGCCATCTCGGGCCCTGTGTATTGACGTAG